ACGTGCTACGATCAATAAAGCGTGCCGCATCGCTGTGAGAGAGTCGATGCAGCGGTACAAGGACACCCGGCTGAAGGAAGCAGCAGAGGCCAGAGCGAGCCTCAAGCGATGTCGTAAGGACCTTGACGACTCTCGCTCGATCATTGCAGTTATGAGGGACGCGATGGGCAGACCGCAAAAATCGACAACGAAGATCGAGGAGATTGCCGTCGGCTAATACACGAACCTCTCTCGGTCGACGGTATCGGTTTCCCGTATCCCTATACCAACACAAGAACTGGCCCCGAGGATAGAAGAATGGGAGGTTAACGCACCATACGTCAGATGAGACCGAGAAAGGCACCTGGACCGGACTGCATCTCAGCGGACTTCTTGAAATCGGCGCCCCACACCATCATCAAGCAGCTCACCAAGCGCTTCAACAAGTACCTGGGCGCTCAGAGGATTCCAGACCAGTGGAGGAGGTCGAACACGGTTCTACTGTTCAAGAAAGGAGAGCGCGATCAAATGAAAAATTACCGTCCAATTGCGCTTCTCTCGCAGCCGTACAAGCTGTTTACTAAGATCATTCTAAACAGACTCGAGAGGCAATTGGACGAGTACCAACCAGTCGAACAAGCCGGTTTTCGCAAAGGCTTCTGCATGGATCATATCCACACTACCTCGCAGCTGATAGAGCGGACCAGGGAATACAAACAACCACTTCTTCTCTGCTTTATCGACAATGCGAAGGCATTCGACAGTGTGGAGCTCAACTTTGTCTGGAACGCACTGCACCATGCAGGAGTCGATCCATGCTACATCAACCTGCTGGAACAATGTAATACAGACACGTTTACCACCATCCGCATGTTCCAACTAGAGCTTCGCGTGCCGATTGAGAAAGGAGTCAGGCGGGGTGACACGATATCTCCTAAACTATTCACCACCGCACTGAACCACGCGATGCTGCAACTGGACTAGGACGATAAATTCAACAACATCGACGGCAAGAAACTATTCAACCTGTGCTTCGCAGACGATATCGTCCTCATCAGCCAAATTCGAGAGGAGCTGCAGCAGATGGTGGACGATGTCAGCAAAGCTATTGACCTCACGATGAACAGAAGCAAGACAATGTTATGCGAAACGAATGGGCGGATGCGTCACCCATCACACTAGAAGGAACCACGTTACCGTTCACCGACTCCTATGTGTACCTCGGCCGTCTCATTTCCATGGACAACAACTTGCGTGCAGAGAAGGCGCAGAAGATGCGCGTGGGCGGCAATCGGAAACATAAAAGAAGCGGCTCATCTCGTAGCGGACAAGAAAGAACGAGCTGACTTTTCGACTCAACGGTATTGCCAGCACTCTGTTACGCATTCGAGACGCGGGCGGAGAACAAGACGTAAACGCTAATGTTGGTTCGAGCACAAAGAGCTCTAGAGCGGATGCTGCTGAAGATCAACCGCGCAAAGCAGAGAAGTCTCAACCTCCGCAGCGCAGACATGCGCTCAATGTCCGGTATCCCTGATGCCGAAAAGTACGCGTGGAACGCTAAGAAACGATGGGCAGGGCACGTGGTCAGACGCACGGATGACAGTTGGACCACTCGCGTCACGTTCTGGTACCCACGTGAGATTAAACGCCTACTTGGCCGTCCTGCAACGAGATGGAGTGACTCCCTGAAGAAACTTCAGGGAAACGTTGTTTAACACTGGTCCCAAACCGCTCAAGATCGTCAAAAATGGATGAAAGCGTGTGCTCGCCGCTGAAGATTATCAGCCGACAGCGAGCGTCCAAGTATCCAAGTAAGTAAGTAAGTATATAAATTATCAATTTTTTTATAAAACTTTTATAATTTACATTGGATAAAAATAAAATTATGCTAGTCTAGCCGACTATTCTGGAACGAACATTTTACAAACAATTTATTACCGAGGTCAAAAATTATTGCCCACTACACAAATTAAATTTAAATAATGTTATTTTATCATTTCTTAGACCACAATTAAATTTTAATTTTTTAAGTAGTATGGTAAACAAGATAATTTTCCCATTTATTGAAAATAAATTATACTTTTCCATACTAATATCTATTCTATTCATTACAGATAAAATTTTTAATTTTGAAAATTATTAGTTTTTAATTCAAGTTAAATCTACAAAAAACACATTTCTCATCATCATAAAATTTTATTCTCCCCTCTATTGCTATTGTACCCAAAATTCTTGAAATTACTGAAAAACACGTAGAATAAAAAATATCATTCTTCCTATAAATCTAACGAATTTTACAAACAATTTCCTCATTAAAAATTCTAAAGCAATTAAAGCAAAAATAAATAGATAAAATTTTAAAAACATTATTATAAATCTAATAAACACAAAAAGTTTTAGCTGGTGCTATTACGATGTTACTGACGGATCGTAATTTAAATATTTCATTTTTCGACCCGTCGACTGGGGGTAACCCATCAATTTATCAGCATTTGTTTTGATGCCGTGCGCTACTTGTGCGCGGCACGCACTTCGACACACTTTTTTCTGACCAAAGGGTGTTCAGTGTGGGAGGAATGCTGAGATCCCAGAGTATACGTATATTTCACACTACGAGTGCTGGAGCCGCTGAGAAGAGTCAGATCGCCTCTCGCAGCCATATTCCCTCTTTCGTGATGGTTTGGGCTAGAATCTCCACCATCAGGACGATATCGCAAATTTTGGTCGACAAAAGTACAAAATTCAATCCGAACCGTTTAAGAAGGGTTTTTCTGGAAAGATGCTGCTGGGGCTCAAAGATTTTTCTCATGGTATGGTTTGAAAACTACGGCGCACTTGCTTAGGAATGGGAAAAATCAAGATTGATGCTAAGGAATTGTTCGCGACTCCATCCCATCTTCCAACCTTCCTGCGAATTTTCCGGGCCACAGAGTGATGGGTCGCTGGATATAGTCCATGGCGGAGAAGAAGCCTGCGCTTCAATACGCACCACTGTTGCTGCTCCTGAGAAATCACTGAAAAAAGCCCAGGCTGGAGTTTCTCAAGTGACTCTGCGAGTTACCGTCGATGAGTAACCGAAGTGTCTTCGAGCTATAATTAGAACAGGAGACGGTTATATGAGACGGTTATAATATATATACATATATATTGTAGTGATTCCTGTGTAGCCGCTGGACGTCGGAAGAGAGTAGGAAAGAGTATTTTATTGCGAGTGCATGGGCCTTTTATAGGCCAACACAAACAATAACAACTAGATCACTTTTATCATTGCTTCGGTGGTTCATTTTTTCTTGTTCGTAAACAACTTGGTTGGAGGTGGGTTGATAATAGAGGAATCTCTATACTCCGCGGCGGGCTGTGTTGCTGACGTAGAGCGCTGAAAATCCTCCAATTCATTATTTCGTTTCGTTGTGAATTGAGCCGCCTGCAGGTTCGTGCTGTATTCTTGTTCTATTGTGTCGTTTGGCGAGTTCTCTGGTTGAATTTCACTCTGTTCGTGATTAGTTCGTCGTGGCCTGAGGTTGTAACGATGACTACGCCTCACTTGTGAGTTCTCCCACCTCCTGCTGTTGTTGACTATTGGTGATACCTCTGTATCTGTACCGTCTTGTAGCTCGAGCGGAATGAGAAAGTTTACAGGTCTTCGGATGACTCTTCCATTTGGTAACTTAACATGTGCTTCTCGGATGATTCCATTCTCTGACGGAGAAAGATCGTGTATACGTCCCAGTTTCCAAGTGTTACGTGGAGATGTTGAATCGTAAATGAGCACCACAGTATTTCTGGCTGGTATTTTTCGGGTTCCGCCTTTGTTGTTCATGAGAAGCTTGTGTTTCTCTCGGAGGCTGGTGAGGTACTGATTCTTCCATATTGTCCAGAATTTCTCCGTTATTTGATGGCTTGTCTTCAAAGCTTCTTCGGCTTGTTGACGAGTCTTCAGTTGTACTGCGCTGGGTGGGAAATAATCCTTGTCATTTCCGTCTGTTGCACAATTTTCGAACGGGTACGTAATGACCATATCACGTTGTATGAAATCGATGGGTCTCAAGATCGCGGTTTCCTCCTAATTTTCTTCTTGGTACGAGAGCGGTCTTGTGTTTAGAGTTCCTTCAATCTCGATTAATGTTGTTTCCAATCTGTCTTCGTTAAAATGGTTTTCCGCATTACTTTGTAGAGTGAGTACTTGACAGACTTTATCAATCGCTCGTAAAATGCTCCTTGCCAAGGGGCGAAAGGTGTTATGGTTCTCCATTCGATTCCTTTCGCTGCTAGTGAGTTGGCAAACGAGGTGTCTTCTGTGATGGAACATACGGCATTAGAAAGAATCTGTTCTGCTAGGTGGAATTTAGGTGCGTTATCCGATGTTATTGTGGTAGGGACTCCTCTTGCAAAAAATCGACGTAGTGCATTGAGGAGATTGATAGTTGTCATATCAGGTACAAGTTCCAGATGTAGTAGTCGAGTTGTCATGCACGTAATGATTATTCCATATACTTGTACCACTTCATCATTTTCCTTGGCGGATAGTGGGCCAAAGTAGTCGATTCCACTATGTTCAAATGGGTGCGCTCTGCAAACACGTCGTCTGGGAAGATCTCCCATTTCTGGGTATCTGTATAGGAGGTTATTCATCTTCTGACAAGGAATGCATTTTCTTATTACACGTTGAATTAGTTGCCGGAGTTTCGGTATCCAGAAACAGTTTCTTACGTTGGCATTGTATGAGCAGTTGTGCAGTGAAGTGGGGAATGGGCATCCTGTACAATGATCTCTGCCAATTTGGTTTTCGCTGCAATTAAAATAGGTTGACGTGCTTCGAAAGGGAGTTCGGCGAGCTCCATTCGTCCACGGCATCTCAGGATACCATACTTGTCTTTCTGTGGTTTTAACTGTTTCAGTGAATTTTGTTTCGATCCTTGGAGATGTACCATCTGATGATTTCTGATAATCACCTGTAGCGACAGTCTTCTTTCAGCTGCTGTGACGTGCTGCTCCTTCGTCATTTGGAGAAGTTCTGGAATTGTGTTTGTGATGCGATATTTTAATTCCGAAGGCATCTTCGAGATGAGGGCCTTGATGAATCGCAGAACGTAGGTCGTGGCTGTTTGAATAGAACTTATCGTGTTGTGCCTCTCCCAATCGAGTATTTCTTTTGTAATGCTCTGTGGCGTGCTTGTTGTTGGAAGCATATAGTTGGCTTGTTCATCGCCGTTGGTAGGGAGGACGAGTAGACGGCAAGTCTCTGGCCATTTCTCTGGTGGTTTCTTGATGAAGTCTGGACCATTCCACCACATTTGGTCGAAGAAGCTGTTCTTATCTATTCCACGGGTGGCACAGTCTGCAGGGTTGTCGGTGGTTTTGACGTATCCGAAATGTACTGGTACCGGGATGTTTGCAGCTATCCTTCTTATTTCTTCCACGCGATTCTTTACTAGAATTCCGACCTTCTTCTCATTTGAATAGGAGGATAGCCATTTCAGAGCGATTTCGGAATCCGAGAGAAGGATGACGCTTTGGATTCTTGTACGTTGACATATTGCTGAGAAGATGTTGTGCGCTAACCGGGTTGCCATAGTCAGGGCGTTCAATTCTAACTACGGGATGGTCGTTCGTTCCTTGATGGAAGGGAGCTTCGCCTTCGCAGAAAGGAGATTTGCTTTGCTGTCAGACACGATGTATGCACAGGTTGCCATTGCTTGTACACTGGCGTCCGAGAACAAGATTAGGTTTGAGGTTGTTCCGATTTGTGCTACCTTCCTGGGTATCATGTGGCAGAAATTTCCAATTGATTTTGTGATGCCGTTCCATTGCAGTTGATGTTCTTCTGACAGTGTATCCCACTGATAATCGAATTTCCATAACTCCTGCAGAAATTTTTTCCTTGCTAGTGTCAATGGAGTGAGCCATCCTAGCGGATCGCAAATAGCAGCCATTTGTTCTGAAACGGCTCTTTTTGTAATGATTTCTTTCTCCGGGTTCTTGCATGAAAGAGTTATGTAGTCGCTCATTGTATTCCATGTGATACCGAGTACTTTGATTTCTTGAGATTGACAGAGATCTGTTGGTGTGATCTGATTTTTCAGGTCGCTGCTGTTGGATTGGAATTGTCGCAGGTTCATGTTAAGGGCGTTGAAAATTTTCTTCGTGTCTTGATATATTTTCAGAGCTGCACTTGTTGAAGATGTTGTTAGTATAAGATTGTCAACGTAAATATTGTCTTCTATCTCCTTTGCGAGCTGAATGTCCTGCACCATTGTTCTGAGGTGATGGTTGATGGTACCCGCAAGCAGGAATGGTGAATAATTGAGTCCGAAGGTTACTCGCGTGAAGCGGTATGTGACTGAATTCTCTTTAGTGAGCGGTTTTCGAATATCTCGGACCCACATGAATCTTGTGGCGTTTCTGTCTGATGGATGAAGCCGAACTTGTAAGAAAGCCTTTTCAACGTCACTAATTATCGCTGTATCTCCGATTCGGAAGCGGAGCAAGATGTCGCATAATTTGGGAAGAATGACCGGTCCTTGATTTAGCACATCGTTGAGCGAAGGGCAATTTTTCAGGTGCGCAGATGCATCGAATACTATTCGAAGTTTCGTGGTATCCTTTTGAGGAGTTATGACTGCGTGATGAGCTAAGTAGTGCACTATCTCTTTTTCAGAAGATTGATCATCACTCACTTCTTCGATTATTCCTCGTTCTAGTTGGTCAAGGATTGTGTCGTGATACTGTTGCAAAATGGAATTATTTTTTGAGAGATGAATCAAGTTTGCTTTCAGGCGTCGATAAGCTAGCTGTTTGTTGTCTGGCAACTGCTTGCAGTTGCTCTTCCATGGAAGACGCGCATAATATCCGTCCTCTCGTTTCTCTATGCTTTCTTGAAATCTCTTCCATATTGCTGCATTCGTTAGTTGTCGCTCTTCTGATGCAGGACCCGTGAATTCGTGTGTGCCATTTCTCTCAAATTCACAGAATTGTTTCCATGATTGCTGTGCTTCCTGCTGAGACGGTAATTCTTCTTGAGTGTTTGTTCTTTGGGTGGTCTGGGCAGGGGGTTTCTCATGGTTAGTTACTTGTGCGCTGTTTCGTCCTGTTATGAGATATCCCAATCTGGATGGAATCAGTTTAAGTCCAGACGGTAATGTATATTCTGTCTTCAATCCAACATCAAGAACTGAAAAGAGATCGGCACATCCAAGAAGAACCGATGGTTGGAGTTTTTTGATGGATGGGTCAATGGACACATGAATATTGTTTTCCTTGGGAAATTTTTTGTCTTCCGTGCTGAGGCTGCTACGCTTTAGTGGTGTGGTGATGGTATCGATGCAGGTGACGGTGAATTCATGCACAGTTCCTTCCATGTCCCACATTCTGAGAAGTATGTTGGTATAGGTCTTTTTCATTGGTTTACGTGAGCCAAACGTGTTGATTTCTAATCTCGTTGCATTAACAACCTTGAGTTGAAGCCGATCGGCGAGATCGTCAGTGATGAATGAACGATCTGCTCCGGTATCGAGCATAACGTAAATTTCTTCAAGTTCTGCAGTAGTGGGATTCA